GTAAGTCGCCTCCTTCCAGCCATCCACCCAAGGAGATTGGTGTGTCGGTGGGAGAATTGGTGTGTCAATTATGAGGAGTAGCGCCAGTGGGAATTGAGAAAATGCTATTTGTGTTGGTTTCACCATCTTTTTTATGATGCCTATAATGACGAGTAACAGTTCCATGGGCTGTCTCAACTTGATTATCTTCCTATTAGGGCATATACCTGAAACCAACCAATCTAAATATCCTTATATATCATTACGAACACATTGACATATTCTTAGTGTTAAAAGGTAATATGTCGCTGATTGTGAATCCTCAAGTGGCCCATGATATTGAAACTGACCCGTTTTGTCTTCGAGCAGCCAAGGTTTATTCTTGGACTTCTTCTACGTATGCAGCCATATGATGTTAGAAAGAAGGTAGAAATAAGAAACCAAAATTACTTGGAAGCAACATAAACCTAATCATTTATAGACACTGAATCGACAATCAGACTGTTATGTTGCTATCATTATGCACTAAAGCAAGTTTTGTGAACTACTTTTACACAAATAGTTTCATCCACTTCTTTGAAATAGAATTCAATAACGATTAATGTCTAGCAAAAAGATTCCATAACAGTAATATTCTAATGTATCAGACTTGTGTACGATACAGCCGACTTTGTGTGCTTATTATATATAATGATATATATATGTTCGATTTTATACTTCGATGTCGCCTGGTGGCCGCCTCCGGCAGGGAGATCCTCATCCACCTGAAGTTCAACGAAGTGAATTTATTTCAATCTCCTTCCATTTCCTTCAAATTCAATAAGAAATAAAACAAAAGTTATCAAAAGCACATAATGCTTTGAGTTTGTACATTCATTGTAAACTTAAAAATTTTGGGAATCTTAGTGTAAGTCGACCAAATTATTCTAACTGTGGACGGATTTCCCAAAACATACATCAGGCATACCCATCCCAATCAGCCTTTCTTACAGAAAAAATGAACCCTAATTCATTGGGAAAGAACTCATCTGCGAGATAATTTCACAAAGCATACCTGGAATTGAAAATAGGTTCAATAATAACATTTATCAAGAAGATTGCAGCCACTATGCAGTTGAAACTCACCGTCGGCTTGCAAAATCGATCCCCCAGAGCGGGATTTCAAAGTCCCCGAAGGACATCCTGGAAATCGCCAGATATCTAACATACAACTCATAGAAAAATGAAAGAGATTAATCAACTATCTGTGCAAAATCTAAATTATCTCACACTACGCTTGGGCTAAAATTCCATCATCTGCAACATCAATTCATTAATCCATCAATTCATTAATCATACGAATAATATGAAATCAAATCTTCCACCACAACAATTATCAAAACACACAATTTCTCTCGAGAACACAGGGTGTTTCAAGAACAAGAATCTAATAAGAGAAATCTCAAAATAATGAAGCAGCAAAACAAAAAAGAAAAGAAAAGAAAAGCATGAATTCAAATGAACAATACTGCAAAGCAATTTGTTCTCACCTTTCCAATCGAATTCTTCTTGATGAATTTTAAGCGGCATTGAATCAACAGAGGAACTAAAATTCATCATCATCCTCACCGGAGAACCACATCGACATGCCCATATCCGAGGCGCCTTCGTGGATCGACGACTATGTGACCGGAATCAGGCCGGTTCTGAGGGAGGACGGGTGGTCAGAATCCGGGGTGTTGGTGTTTGGTTTATTTGACAGCGGGATGGTGAGGGTCGACAACCAGATGATGATGGACACCATGCCGCTTAAAGCGGATCGGGTCTCCGATGTGCTCAAAAAAGGCGGGAGGAGATCAGAGGAGGTCGGATGCCGTGGGGCTCGATTCTCGCCGGGAGAAGGAGAAGAAGACCGTTGCCGGATCTGACTGAGTCGATGGACTGGTAATCGTCATCGTCCGCTTCGTCATTGTAGTTGTTCCTTTTGAAAATTGTTAATGTTATTGAGAGTAATTGGTTCGGTAGGGTTTGTAGAGAGGGATTTTACCTGCTCCCATCTCCATCAAACTTGCTTGTGCGAGAATTCTGCGAAAAGGAAGAAAAAAAATGTTGACCCGGAAATTCTGATAAAAGGTGACGTGCAGAATAAAGGATTGAAGAAAGTGGAAAAAAAGGGACCAATGCCTTGACATTTAAAAAATCAGTGGCACATGCGTAAAAATCTAGCCAAACCAAGGACATTTAAAAAGGTAAAATCGAACACCTGTCAGCGCCACAATCCCTTACATTTTTGCTTATATGTAAGGGAGGGATGTTTGGGACCAAATATGGGAATAAGTGACCACATTTGTAATTTTCTCCCAATCATCCCTATCACTTTCCAATCGGGTAAATTGCACCAAACCCCCCTGTAATATATTAAATCTGCGCGTTTTCCCCTCGTAATTTAAAAATTGCGTTAAACCCCCTTCTATTGTATATCTGCCTGCACACTCTCCCTTTGATGTTAACACCGTTACTTTACTACTAACGATGTTACTTTTTTTCGTCAAATTTACCATTATACCCTTACTTTATCGCCGAATTTACCATTATGCCATTATACCTTTATTTTATCACTGAATTTACCATTATGCCATTACTTTATCACTGAATTTACTATTATGCCATTACTGTCAAATAATATATATATATTCTAAATTATATATAAAGAAAATAATATACATATATATAACATATATATATAATTTATATATAACGTATTTATATAATGTATATATATTATATATGTATAATAACCTTATATATATAACGTATTTATATATAATTTATATATAACGTATATATATAAATAACGATTTTAATGTATATAGTATATATATATAATATATTAATATATATTATATACTATTTTATATTATATAATATATTATTAATATATCATATATTATATAATATATTATATAATATAATATATTATATATAACGGTTATTATATAAATTATATATATTATACATATATAATATATATAATTTATATATAACGTATTTATATAACGTATATATTATATATATAATAACCGTATATATATATAACGTATTTATATATAATTTATATATAACATATATATATAAATAACGATTTTAATATGTATAATATATATTATATATATAATATATTAATATATATTATATATTATTTCATATTATATAATATATTATTAATATATCATATATTAATAATATATTATATAATATATATTATATAATATAATATATTATATATAACGGTTATTATATAAATTATATATATAATATTATATATATATAATATTATACATATATAATATATATATAATTTATATATAACATATTTATATAACGTATATATTATATATATATATAATAACCGTATATATATATAACGTATTTATATATAATTTATATATAACGTATATATATATATATAAATAACGGTTAATATATATAACATATATTATATATATAATATATTAATATATATTATATTTTATTTTATATTATATAAAATATTATTAATATATCATATATTATATAATATATTATATAATATAATATATTAATATTATACATATATAATATATATATATATATAATAGTCAGGTATAATAGTCAGGTATATATATATAATAGTCAGGTGTATATATATATATATATATATATATTAGTCAGGTATATATATATAAATATAATAATGTATATATATAATTCAGGTATTAAGGGGCAAAATATTCATTTCTCTGAGTTTATGGCGAAAAAATAAAGAAAAAGTCGCACCACACGCGCGTGAAATGCACATCCGTCAAGTTAGACGGTTTAGGGGATAACGCACAATCAAAAGTACTAGTACAACACCCGTGTACTACACGGGTACTTGCTAATTTTTTTCTTAAAATTTAAATTAATGAGAAAAAGTAGTTTGAAAATTTAAATACCTTTTATAAGAATATATATTATTATATATTTATTATGTACTTTTTATTTGTGCGATTTACTTGTGTTGTATTATACTAATTTTTTAACTTACAATATATAACTACATTAAATATAAATATATCAATTGAGAAATAATTTTATTTTTCTAATGAATTTTAATAAATATTATTATTTTTTATTATTATAAAGATAAATATAATTTATTTATTTTATATATACAATATGGATGTCAAATCGAATATCATCAAAGATGATTAATTTGATATATTATATATGTAAAACCGATAAAAAATATAAAAATTATCTACTTTTAAAATACTTTTATAATTCAATAGCTAATTGAATGAAGCAAATCAAAATTTAGGGATATATTAGTCACTTAGTGCTTCATTATATAAAATTACAAAGATTAAAGGGTTATATTAGTAAAAGTGATATTAAAATACCTAAGTTAGCTAAATAATATTTATAGAATACCCGAACCTAGATTATTAATTATTAATATATTAATATTATTTGTCCAAACCTAATTAGGAAGCATGATTCTTCGCCAAATAGGATTCCGAAGCACCAGAAGCAGCCACGTAGGCTCAGCGCATTGGGGAATTATATATAGGGAGAATAATACAAGGGGGTATAGTGCAATTTTTAAAATACAGGGGGATAACGCGCAAATTTCGTATAATACAGGGGTTTGGCGCAATTTATCCCTTTCCAATCCCATTCCTAGTTCGCTAATAATTCGAGCACCTGCAACTGAAGCATCGTCGGCTCGGCCCAACCTTTTGGGTACACTCTCAGATTTATCCCGGTGAGTTTCTTGTGGATATAGTCTTGTTATCCCCCAATAAATTTAATTAATTTTTTTTATATATTTTTATTTCGCCCTCCATATCTCGATCCCCATTGGATTGCTGCAAATTTAATCCTTGTCTATCTGCATTTGGGATCCGAAGAATATAATTTCGATTAGCGATTTTTGATCTCCGCATTGACTCGTGGCGTTCAAATCGGTTGTTTTAGGTTAAAGTTAACCAGCATTTTTGGGTTGGGAAAGTGGGTCAGAGATGGGGTTTCTGGTAACTACGTTGATATTCGTAGTGGTTGGGGTTATTGCGTCGCTTAGCGCCAGAATCTGCTGCAACAGAGGACCCTCTGCGAATTTGTATGTATCATGCTGATTTTCAGATTGTGGTTAACTTTTAGCGTCATTTATGAAGTCTTCTATTGTAGTGTATTGAAAAGCAAAATTGAGGTGTTATCGTTGTTTTTATATGATTGCCGAATGTTTGTACTCTCTTTACGGTAGCGAATTGCCCGAGTTTTTCTCAGAAGTATTTTCCTTGTAGCCGGCTAATTCAACCCAACCGGCGTGGATAAATGCCTTTGCCATGTTCACACAGACCCATGAGGGGTGTGGTGATCTAACAGTAAAAATCCAGGGGCCTAGACTTGTCTGAAATCGTACTCCCGTCGCTTCTTGTAACAAAAGACTTTTTTTTTTTTTGTTCAAGACTAACTCAACTAATAAGAAACAATATATGTTCTTTCAGTGAAAAATGATTAATAGCCAACCCACACAACTGTGGGAATTGGCCCTGGGACTGCTTGCTTCGAAAAAAAAGCACCTTCACCCACCTGGCCTAAAGCCGATTCTCGAGATTTCTGATATTCTTGTTACTGGTGTTTGTACAAATATTTGGTTTTTCTGATTATGCTTTCTAACTTGTTTTGTACTTCAATGTGAATGTAAAGGTTCTTTCCCAGTAGTTGTTTTGATCTTGATTTGAACAGCTTGGACAATCCAACTTCTGCTTTGTCTATTGAAAAAGTTTTCTGGTTTTTGTGGGGTTCTCTGCATATTTATTGTGGCTTGAACATTTATCTCATAGCTGAGTACAAATTAGTGGATGTGTTGAATTAGCTTATTCCCTCCATGACAGTGTTTGGAATTATCTTATTCACTTTTTTATTTATTTTATTTTTTCGCAGGTTACATCAGACATTGGTTATTACTGCAACGGTTTGCTGCTGGATGATGTAAGATTCATTCCTTTCCTCTAATTAGCAAATATTTTCGCACATACAGAACTTCGCCAACTAATACACATCTTTCCTTATTTCCCTCTTCACCATGATTTTCCTTGGTTTCTATAAACATAGCAATATTTGCCGAAATTTGGTTGGGTGTATATTCCTGTGGTTTGACTAGTTATATTGTATATTTGAAAAAGTAAAGCTTCCGGAATAATTTACTTCTTTTGTGATATAAATCGATTGGTCATTGTATGTAGTTTTCTTTGCTGTTTGTGTAATGCTTTTGAGCATTTCCACTAAATGAAACTTAAATTGTGGCACTGTCTTCATTGATCTCCTTTAAAATATGAAAGAAAAATGATATCTTTTCAAAAGCAGCTTTCTTGATATCATGTTTATTATGTCCTTGCTTTGTGCCTGCACCTGCGTTGAAATTGAGGTCCTTGAGAAATTGTAAATTTATTCTATGTTAAAAGCAATGTTAGTAGTTCCGATTTTCTGGATTTTTAAATTTCAACCATTAGAAGTCTTGCTCTATACAGATTATCGATTGATATGATTTAATTCACCATATATGCTTGTGTTCTTCATCTGTAGGTGGGCAATTGTGTATTTATCACAGATGAAGCCATTAATTGTTCCAATTTTGAACGAGTCTGAGTGATATCATCTTCTAGAAGGAAATTGTTTGCAAGCTACTGTTTGTTGTTTTTGAAGGGAGTACTCGGAGATTTATTATTATTAATAACCTTTTGGGGTACGCATTCCACAGGGCTCCTTTCCTGTTTCATATTTGTATGTAATTTTCATTCATTTGTAATCTTTAATTTATTATTATTCGAGGATGGTCTCAAATGGGATGTACTTAGACAAGATGAGAAAATAAAAGGATGGAGTTTGCTCTGTCAGGCTAGGCGGCCCTCAGCGGCCCTGATTTTCATTTAGGCGCTCGGGAATTTAGAAGCGTCCCCTACTCATCGTGGTTCTCTGAAGGATTTTCTCACCAGCCGACAGAAAAAGAACACCCGGTCGTTCTTCATTGATATGTTTAAGGGTGGATCGTGACTCGAGAGAACTCGCAACAAGTGAATGTCCCTGACGTGTCTCTCCAATGACGAGGACCGACCACGGCAGATCAAACGGGTGCTGGTATCGCCCCATATGATCGGACACACGTCATCGCATTCTTGTACATATCTTTGATGAGGGTAATGTACTTAGATGAGACTTTTGTGCTTTTCTAAGGCCCACTACATGACATTCCTCGGTACTCTGTCATAAGTCTTCTCAAGGTCGATAAAGACCATGTGCAAGTCCTTCTTTTGGTCCCTATATCTCTCAATCAACTGTTGTATTAGGAAAATCGCCTCCATGGTCAACCTTCCAGGTATAAACCCAAATTAGTTTTGGGTCACACTCGTCGTAGGCGATGCTCAATAACCCTCCCTCATAGCTTCATCGTATGGCTCATCAACTTAATCCCACGGTAGTTACCACAACTTTGAACATCTCTTTTGTTCTTGAAGATCGATACTAATGTACTTCTCCTCCATTCATCAGACATCTTGTTTGACCGGAAAATGAGGTTAAAAAGCTTAGTTAGCCATTCTAACGCTCTGGCGCCCAAGCATCTCCACACCTCAATGGGGATACCATCAGGGCCCATTGCTTTACCTCTCTTCATCCTCTTCATAGCCTCTCCGATTCTGCCTCCTGAATTCTCCTCACCAAGCGTCTATTGGTATCCTCAAATGAGTTATCCAACTTCAGGATAGGACCCTCACTCTCTCCATTAAACAATTTGTCGAAGTACTCTCGCCATCTGTCCTTGATCTCCCCATCCTTCACCAGTGGCCGATCCGACCCATCTTTGATGCATTTGATTTGGTTGATGTCTCTTGTCTTCCTCTCCCGAATTCTCGCCATCCTATGAATGTCATTCTCACCTCCTTCGTGCCTAGGCGCTGATAAAAGTCATCATAGGCCTGACCCTTCGCTACACTCACGGCACGCTTTGCAGCCCTCCTCGCTATTTTATAGCTCTCAATGTTGGTTGCACTCTTGTCAAGGTGGAGACGCCTAAAACATCCTTCTTCTTCTGAATAGCCCTTTGCACCTCGTCATTCCACCACCAAGTGTCTTTCACTTCCTGCTTGCTTCCCCTACTCACACCAAGTATTTCTGCAGTCACCTTCCGTACACATGTTGCCATCTTTAGCCACATGTCATCTGCATCTTCTCCTTCTTCCCAAGGCCCCTCGCCTAGCACCCTATCCCTAAACGTCTGTGCCGCTTCCCCTTTAAGCTTCCACCAATTCGTTCTCACGATATTGGCACGTTTGTCCTGGTGGACACGTATTCATAATCGAAAGTCCGCCACCACCAGCTTATGCTGGGGGACAACACTCCTCAGGTATCACCTTGCAATCTATGCAAGCGCATTTATCCTTCCTCTTTAGTTTCTATAAACATATCAATTTTTTGCTGAAATTTGGTTGAGGTTCTTTTAAGGTGTATATTCATGTGGTTGGACTAGCTATATTGTATATTGGAAAAAGTAAAGCTTCCGGAATAATTTACTTCTTTTATGATATAAATTGATTGGTCATTGTATGTAGTTTTCTTTGCTGTTTGTGTAATGCTTTTGAGCATTTCCACTCAATGAAACTCGAATTGTGGCACTGTCTTCATTAATCTCTTTTAAAATATGAAAGAAAAATGATACTTTTTCAAAAGCAGCTTTCTTGATATCGTGTTTATTATGTTCTCGCATTGTGTCTGCACCTGAATTGAGGTCCTTGAGAAATTGTAAATTTATTTTATGTCAAAAGCAATGTTAGTAGTTCTGATTTTTTGGGTTTTTAAATTTCAACCATGAGAAGTCTCGCTCTATAAAGATTATTGATTGATTTGATTTAATTCACCATATATGCTTTTGTTCTTCATCTGTAGGTGGGCAATTGTGTATCTATCACAAATGAAGCCCTTAATTGTTCCAATTTTGATCGAGTCTGAGTGATATCATCTTTGAGAAGGAAATTGTTTGCAAGCTACTGTTTGTTGTTTTTGAACGGAGACTTGGAGATCTATTATTATTAATAACCTTTTGGGGTACGCATTCTACCGAGTTCCGATCTCCTTTCCCATTTCATATTTCTATGTGATTTTCATTCATTTGTAATCTTTAATTTATTATTATTCGAGGATGGTCTCAAATTGGATGTACTTAAACAAGATGAGAAAATGAAAGGATGGAGTTTGCTATGTCTCAGTGTTTATCGTGCTTGGTTGCCCTCAGCAGCCACAATTTTCATTTAGGCGCTCGGGAATTTAGAGGCGTCCCCTACCCATCGTGGTTTTCTGACGGATTTCTCACCGGCCAACAGAAAAAGAACACCAGGTTGTTCTTCATCGAGATGCTCAAGGGCAGATCTTGACTCGAGAGAACTCGCAACAAGGGAATGTCCCTGGCGGGTCGCTTCAGTGACGAGGACCGCTGCAGATCAAGCGGGTGCTCGCAAGTGACGAGGACCGCGACAGATCAAGCCGGTGCTCGCAGGACAACGGTAGAGGCAGATCCCACAGAGGACGCCGGAGCAGGCGCATAAGAGCAAAAGAAAAGCAGCGATGCACGCGTAGGGCGTGTCGTCGGGTTTGAAGTTCTTCATGAGCCTCCTAGTTTAGGCCTGCCCGAAACACCCATAGAGCCAGAAGGACCTGCCGCTAAAAATTTCACCGGCTGGGAAAGGTTCCGGCTAAGTCGTGCCTTTCCTTAGTGACGTCGTTTTTGCAAGAACCAGTCCGACAAAGCTAGCCTTTGACTTTTGACCACAAAAAAGTTGGACTAAGATAGCCTTTGACTTTTGACCACGAAAAATGTCTCATGTACGTAATTACGATTTTACACCCACCCATTCTCCTTAAGTAAATACCATGTAAGCCACGTCATTAAGGCCTCATTTACTTTGGTGGATGGGATTAAAGAAAATAATCAAGGCAACTTTACATGTCAGCATTGGGATGGAATTTTCAGAAAAGAATCCCTCATTTACTTTCATGGATTAAGTGATATGATAAAAAACAAAAGACTACTTTAGCCTTCGATTTCATTCTTCTCCCCCAAAGAGGCGACGACGTTGGCCCCCACGACAAGCCGCGACGGCCGGAATTCGGACGTGGACGACGGAAAACTAGGTAAATCACACATGTGAGGGAAAAATGCAATATGAAGAACAATTGAAAAAAAAAATAAAGAAAAAGAAAAACGACTCACTAAAAAATGACCAACCCCAATTTATGAAACACAAGAACACATCTTTGCAAAATTTGGGCAAATGCACAGGCGATGGTTAATACTAATAAAAAAAGAAATTGTTTCCCAATTTTTTTTTTTTTTTTTAAAAAAAAGCCCAACATTGAGAGGTGAAGCAGAATTACAGAAACACAAATCTTGACTATGAAAACTAGGGTTCTTGAAGAGGGCGACCATAAGGCATATAACCATGTACTGTACATGTGAGCATTGTCGAAAAGCATACAAAAAAAAGTGAGATTCGAGCTTACCTTGGCGACGAATAAAACAATGAGCTCCACATCCTCTGCACTTTTGTTTACTTTGTCGAGGAAGATGAAGGTTAATTGCAGACAGATCTTAATATTTTATATGGTAAGGTATGGTAATTAAATGGATGTTGAGGGATATTTACGTATTTTCTCAGGCAATTTTGAGGGTAAAACCGTAATCTACAAGGTGGGATTAAAAAATCCCGGGGTCTACCCCGGACAGAATAATTGGAAAATAAAAGATATGCTTGTGGGGCCCGCAGACACATGAACGCCACGTCAGTTCAACCTTGTCTCAATCCCTGTATGTAAACGTTAGATATTGAGGGATAATTTTACTTATCCCATCCTGTCAAGCAAAGTAAACGACCCCTAAGTAAATACCACGTCAGCAAAAAATTTGTCCACGTAGGAGCATAACCGAACACGTTGGCGGGACTTGAGTTCGGGTTGCAATATTTAAGACAAAGGTTATGATTTGTTTGCTAATATTCAAAGTTTGGTTAAAATTGGCAAATGGTGTAAGATGGTGATATTACCTAGACTTTTTATCTATAGTCGGTTTTACCATATTCTTTTTTTTTTTCGGTAATAGATGAAGCTGGTCGATGAAGATTGCATATGAAGATATCGACTTTCAGTTTGGAAGATCTCAACCATATCATAAGGAAATAAGAGGGAAAGAAACCGACTCCTAAGGCAAGGAGGATTTTGTAGACTCCTTACCTTGAAGAGTTTGTATATAAGCTTGCACAAAGACACAACTGAAGGATGTTGCAATAATCGAAGTTTGGTATATTCTTAGACTTTATCGAGTGTTCGTGAGCTTATAGTTTTTCGAGTTTTATTTGTTTCAGTTTTTCAATGTTTGAAGAATTGATTTTTTTTTTTTTTTTTTTTTTTTTTTTTTTTACAAACATTTTTTGTGTGTAGGGTTAAGTACTTGTATAACTTAGAGGGATCCATAGCTATTTAAAGTCCACGTTCGTGGCCAGAAGATTAATAGATTCGGATATAGTGTAAGTCTAAACTGTACTTTGTGCTTGCAAACCGGTCTATTAATTGAAGAACTATAACGGGTATTGAGACACTCTCCAAAGA